GGGTGTGGTGTTGTATTTATAGTTTAGGTACAAGGTGTGTAGTGTTGTAGTATAGTTTAGGTGCAAGGTGTGTAGTGTTGTAGTTTTATTTTGGGTGCAATTTGTGTGGTGTTGTAGTTATAGTTTAGTTGCGAGGTGTGGGGTGTTGTAGTTATAGTTTAAGTGCAAGGTTTAGTGTTGTAGTTTTAGTTTAAGTGCAATGTGTGTGATGTTCTGGTCATAGTTTAGGTGCAAGGTGTGTGGTGTTATAGTTATAGTTTAAGTGCAAGGTGTGCAGTGTTGTAGTTATAGTTTAGGTGCAAGGTGTGTTGTGTTGTAGTTATAGTTTAGGTGCAAGGGGTGTGGTGTTGTAGTTATAGTTGGGGTGTAAGGTGTGTATTGTTGTAGTTACAGTTTAGATGCAAGGTGTGTGGTGTTGTAGTTTCAGTTTAGGTGCAAGGTGTGATATGTTATAGTTATCGTAGTTACAGTTTAGATGCAAGGTGTGTGGTGTTGTAGTTTCAGTTTAGGTGCAAGGTGTGATATGTTATAGTTATCGTTTAGGTGCAAGGTGTGTTTAGGGTTTTCGAAAAATGGCGTTGGTAATTTCTCAGGCCGAGTAATTTCGACTGAGCTAGAGCAGCAGTGAGAAGTATATCATTTATTTAGTTAGGGCAGCAGTGACTACATTATCTGTATTAATTATCCTGAATTTGAAAGGCCTGAGTTCAATCTAAGACGGGAATATTGATATATAGTTTATACAAGTGTATTTGTAACCAGGTCACTAACAAGAAGATGCGATGGTTCTGTCGCACCTGTGTATGCATCAGCTCTATAAATATTAAGTGGGTATGTGTGTGCATTCAAGTATTAGCTAGCGTACTCTAACGCCCACCAGTACTGTGGTGTTTTCAGTTCACATATTGGCCTAAACATTGACGGGAATCTGCATTCTCTCGAGGTGAATATGTGCGGTACTTCAGACTAAACAGATGTATACTTATTTTTGCTTCCTGATCCAGCATGCCGAGGAAAACTTTCTGTGGGATATTTATCATCATCGGCACCATCGGAGGATTGTTAGGCACTTTCGACTCCATCATGCAGCTGCTACACTTAGGCTAGAGCGCGATCAATAGGCGTGTACCCTTTTTGTCAGTGTGTAGTTGAGCTGTGTATCTCTAATAGCCTGAAACATGTCTTCAGAGTCTGACGAATGAGACAAAGGATATACAATACGATGGTTGTGCAGAGGGGGGCGTCATCCTTCCACCGCTAGAACAATTGATTAGACCATGTTCTCGTGCACCAAACCACGCTGTCATGAACGTCTAGAGGTGCACTCATTCAATGGTGGTCCTCTGATCGTAGCTAGGATAGTATAGACCCATAGTCGCGTACACAGATCTAACGGGCCGCGAAGAATCTCTCTGACCTGGTGGACTACGAGATCTCCAACTCACCTTGTATCGTTGCGCATACCAAAAATGGTTGCTGTCTGAGGTTGCACGGAATACGCCAACTGAAATACTTGAGAAGTCCTAGGCCGCCAGGCTCAAGCCAAGGGAGTGCCGTCCGCCAAACCAGAAACAGGTTGTGCACACTACAGTATAGTCGCCATCGACAATCGCAGCGACTGTGGAGTCATATTTTATACCGCAGGAGATGGCATGTGCTTGGCAGCCGATTTATCTATAGGCCAATATTATGGATTGCGGCGTAAAGTGGACCTTGCTGGCGAGTCAAAGGCTCCGGATCGTGGTCGCTCTGCGTATGTTACAGAACATGCATCTAGACACACCCTGCATTAGTTACAGAAGTACAAAAATGGCATAGAACTCACAAGCGCCTAGCTGTTCGAGTGTATCGTCCAACCTCGCAATGATGGGGAGGCAAGAGAAACACCGGTGGTCACACCTTGTGCACGCAAGTGTACATTCACTCAGCGACATGCGGAGCAAGTCGTAGTTCTGTCTTGGTCCTTCCGTTTCAATACGACGATCGAATGAAAACGCATAGCGTTAGTACCACTGACCTTCTTTAAAATATTGTCGGGTTGGTATGTATGACCTCAACTATTACCGTATGTGACCTAACATTATATATATATATATATATATATATATATGTGTGTGTGTGTGTGTATATAAATATATATGAGGAAATCTAACTTTGACAAACATACCATACCAAACGATGTATTCAGGACTTTTCAATACTTCATTTCCAACTTTGCTCTCATAATACTTTTATGTGGGCGTATTCTATTTATCCTATCCTGATATTTTTATTCACTAATTTCTATGAATTCTAATGACAAGTTGGAATTCTTAGCACCTGCTGTTGGTCATTATATATTATTATCGGAGTGCCAAACTGATTACGGCTAAAGCTACTATCATGAACGACGAGGACGATATTGCCCCAGTGGCGCTGTCACTGTCGTCCGTTGCCGCAACCTGATCGGAACCCACAATATCACCGCTTGCCGAAATGCTGGCTGGTCCCTGACCATCCTGTGCAGGATCTGAAGCCGGTTGAACTCCGGTGTTGCCTGTGTCTGTGGATGCTTGGCGACGACGACGACGACGTGTGGCACTGGCCATATCCGTCTCATAGGACACATCAACCAGCAAGCGGAGATCAAAGCCAGCACTGTTACCCAACCCAGGGTTGGCGAACAAAGCATGTACGTCTTGATGGATCATATACTGAACCAAAAAGGTTTGGACTGCCTCACATAGACCTAATTCTTTGCAAGTGAGTCCAGATTCGTAGGCAGCGGGATCGGCTCTTGTGCCCGTGTAGTCGGTACCGGGAGTCAGTGCTCCAGTAATCTGAGGGTAATTCTCGCCAAGGGTACCTGTGGTATCGGCGGTTGTGTCACTCCAGGCGCCAGGACCGGCGCTTTCTCGCACTTGACTTTGGAATATCGTTACCTTGGTTACATCCAATCCACTAAAGTCCACGCGAGCATTAGCAAACTCGGAGCTTGGTCGGCCCTTCTGATCACATCATAAAAAAATGTTATAACGTATTAAAATTGAAAAAATATGCGTTTAAGTTCAACTTCTATTCCGCACCCCCTAACTAATAACTTATAACAGCTTTTAACAGGACTTTTATGAGACAATTCCTGGAATTCCGGCTGGCCTTAATCGTGAATTTACATCCTTCAGTGTAGGCACCTGCATTCTAGGGTCGAACTTAGAAGCATTTACCCAAACTAGTGAGGATTCGGGCTGCACTGATCGAATGGTGTTTGAAATGAAAATTACTTCACCTCGAGCTAATTGCGGGTTTGACTATGAGCTCTCCGACGACGTCGATGAGATGGACCTACGCTATGGAGACGTAGGAAGCAATCTTAGCTTTGGAATATGGCGAGTTTGCGTATGCTCGCGTGGACTTTAGTGGATTGGCTGTAACCAAGGTAACGATATTCCAAAGTCAAGTGCGAGAAAGCGCCGGCCCTGGCGCCTGGAGTTACACAACCGCCGATACCACAGGTACCCTTGGCGAGAATTACCCTCAGATTACTGGAGCACTGACTCCCGGTACCGACTACACGGGCACAAGAGCCGATCCCGCTGCCTACGAATCTGGACTCACTTGCAAAGAATTAGGTCTATGTGAGGCAGACCAAACCTTTTTGGTTCAGTATATGATCCATCAAGACGTACACGCTTTATTCGCCAACCCTGGGTTGGGTAACAGTGCTGGCTTTGATCTCCGCTTGCTGGTTGATGTGTCCTATGAGACGGATATGGCCAGTGCCACACGTCGTCGTCGTCGTCGCCAAGCATCCACAGACACAGGCAACACCGGAGTTCAACCGGCTTCAGATCCTGCACAGGATGGTCAGGGACCAGCCAGCGTTTCGGCAAGCGGTGATATTGTGGGCTCCGATCAGGTTGCGGCAACGGACGACAATGACAGTGCCGCTGGGGCAATATCGTCCTCGTCGTTCATGTTAGTAGTTGTAGCCGTAATCAGTTTAGTGCTTTGTTAGTTATAGTGACTAACAGCAGGTGCGCCGACTCTCAACATATCATTAGAGTTTAGAAATTTATAGTAAATTAAAAAAAAATAGAATAGAACAAATGGTGACGATCTTTTTATAATGATTTGAGTGTTCGTTCTTTGTAGACGTGACCTGAACGAAGCTCTCCAACCGAGTCTCAAACAAGCCAATTATTTTTATATTTGTATTTAATTTATGTCGTATGGTTCTGTGTCTCGCCTCATTTGCATTCGTGATCAAAAGGCAACTCACTGCCCGGATTACATACAGCCGCATGGTCCATTACATTCATGCTTCATTTATCTAGTACTGTCCCACTTCATACTATAACTATCTTATATCTCCTACATTGTTTGTTTAATTCACATTACCGTGAATCTATCCGCCGCTATGGCTAATCCACCTGATTCTCATCCATTATATTGCTCATCACATGCCTTAATCTGCTGCGCTTGGCCACTAACCTTCCGCCACGCACTACCTTGCCTCTATTCCCAGTCGCATCACTGCCTATTATTTTATCACTACCCATTGACTGCTCAGCGTTAACCAGATCTCCACTACATGTAGTACATGGTGATATGTTCGCGCCCTTGGACATCTGCAGACTCTGAGTCTGCGCTATGCTACGAGTTGTTCCCTCCGTTGCACTGCACGTACTCTTCTGCATCGTTTCATGTGTAATATCCTTCATAATGCTATGTGTGTGGTGTTGCAGAACTCGCTTAGCACAGCTTGAATGCGTGTTCGCCGAACATCTCAGCAGCGTTTGACTACTTGTCACCAAGTGTGTGTTCTTATGATTCTCCAGGTTATGGCATAAGTACCCCAATGGTTGTCGCGATAGACGATGTATATCCTCAGCGCTTGTACTTACAGGTTGAATCCAGTTTTTTCTAGACAGAGTACATAACAGAAAAATGTCGGAACGTCAGTGAGAGCATAGCGTATTCACAAACTGCGATATCTTGGTTTTATATGGCGTGATTTCATTGTGTCTGTTTGAATGCGCACATGCTCAACTATATATCTAAAAGAATGTACTGTATACAAATGTGTTTGTTTATTCCTACAATTTTTAAGAATATATATATATATATATATATATATATATATATATATATATATATATGTGTGTGTGTGTGTGTAGTAGTAA